TGTAAGCCATAATCATCACAATTATGACAAATCACGGCTTGAACTATCTTGCTTTGCATGTAATGAGTCTATCTCATATATTAGTTCCACCTTTTAAGTTGCATTACTGAAATAAATGAACTTTTGCACAATATTCAAATTTTTTCGAGTTTCACCTGTATATATACACTATATTGCCAAAAGTATTGTTCGGCCTGCCTTTACACGCACATGAACTTTAATGGCCTCCCAGTCTTAGTCCGTAGGGTTCAATATTGAGTTGGCCCCGCCCTTTGCACTATAAAGGCTTCAACTCTTCTGGGAAGGCTGTCCACAAGGTTTAGGAGGGTGTCTATGGGAATGTTTGACCATTATTCCAGAAGCACATTTGTGAGGTCAGGCATTGATGTCAGACCAGAAGGCCTGGCTCACAGTCTCTGCTCTAATTAATTCCAAAGGTGTTGTATTGGGTTGTGCAGGCCAGTCAACTTCCTCCACCCCAAACTCGCTCATGGATCTTGCTTTGTGCACTGGTGCGCAGTCATGTTGGGACAGGAAGGGGCCATCCCCAAACTGTTCCAACAAAGTTGGGAGCATGAAATTGTCCAAAGCGTCTTGCTATGCTGATGCCTTAAGTGTTCCCTTCACTGGAACTAAGGGGCCAAGCCCAACCCCTGAAAAACAACCCCACACCATAATCCCCCCTCCACCAAACTTTATATTTGGCACAATGCAGTCAGGCAAGTACCGTTCTCCTGGCAACTGCCAAACCCAGACACGTCCATTGGATTTGCCAGACAGAGATACGTGATTGGTCACTCCAGAGAACACGTCTACACTGCTTTAGAGTTCAGTGGCGGCGTGCTTTACACCATGGCATCCTACGCTTTGCATTGCACTTGGTGATGTAAGGCTTGGATGCAGCTGCTCGGCCATGGAAACCCATTCCATGAAGCTCTCTATGCACTGTTGTTGTGCTAATCTGAAGGCCACATGAAGCTTGGCGGTCTTTAGCTATTGACTCTGCAGACAGTTGGTGACTTCTGCGCACTGTGCGCTTCAGCATGCGATGACCCCGCTCTGTCATTTTACGTGGCCTACCACTTCATGGCTGAGTTGCTATTGTTCCCAGTTGCTTCCACTTTGTTATAATCCCACAAACAGTTGGCGGTGGAATATTTAGTAGCCAGGAAATGTCACGGATGGACTTATTGCACAGGTGGCAACCTATCATGGGACCACGCTTGGAGTCACTGAGCTCCTGAGAGCAACCCATTCTTTCACAAATTCACATAAGGGGGGTGCAGCGCTATATAAAATGACAGACACTCATAAACTGCAAATAGTAAATAGTGACTTAGTGCAAATGAGATAAAGCCACTTAATGGTGGCTATAAAGTGACACACAGGTGTAAAAATAATAAAAAGAGTCCAAAGAAGGGGTGCTCTTAAGATCCAAGATGATCTTCAGATGTCCAATGATTGGAACAACCAGGTGATGAAAATGTAAAGATTGCGCACTCACCAGATACGCAATCTTTATGCGCATTTGTATATCAAAATCACTGGACCACTGATGTCATCACATTAGGTCTGGTCAGATCTGGTCATGTAGCTCCTGCTGCCTGGCACTCGGATAGATGCGGCTACTCTGTGGATCTGGCTGGTTTTCACCAGAGCTCAAATAAACAGAGAAGGCCACATAGTGTGATATCCTTGAGGTACTTTATTAAGTATATAGGCACAGGATAACAGAAGCAACTCATATAAAAAATTTACTGACCCAGGTGTAAACAAAGATGGCCGCCGGGGCCCCTCGTGGCGCCGGCGGCGTGGCGTCCAACCTGCTGTAGCCTTTCTGACGCGTTTCGAGCGAAGGCTCGTATTCATAGGGGTGCAGCTTCTGGATGTTCGGGGAAGCGGCACTGAGGAATAAGAAGCAAGCAGCTTTTAGCGTTTTAAAAAGTGACTGACTGGGGATATATATTTATTTTTAATTAAAAAAACTTTTTGGTATATGTTTGTAGGATGGACATGAATACTTTAATGTTAAAAATTAGCAAAAAAAATGTGCCTCCCATCAATACGCTTTAAGGTTAGTTTATTCATTTCTCTATATGCCAGAGGATATGCTCATTAGAATGCAGGAAGAAGGCCTGCAACTGAATTTACTGAATGTTTAGCTCAGCAAAACTTGGCACAAAATTCAGCCGTGGCCAATGGTTTATTGCATTGTTCCTTGTATAGGAATACAATGTCATAAATTACCGCACTATTTAGTTCTGTAACATCAGAGCGGACATGTTTCTGAAAGTTTTGACAGGTTATTAAAGAAGAGCTACAACCCCCCCCAAAAAAACATTTTAAAACAGCTACAATTTCTGCTGCCTATCTGTAAAACGATTTCTCGCCTTAAGAACTGTAGAATGATTTCTTGACTTTTGAAGGATTACATAAGTTAGAGTTTTGATATATTTTTCCCAAGTTCCACATTAAACTTGAACTGCAGGACAAACATTATATATATATAATATAATATTATACAGTATATATATATATATATATATATATATACCTGACAAATAATTTGTGGTTCTGCCCATCCAGTCCTGATATTTACACAGCTCTGCTGCATAGCACAGTCCTGTCTTTCAGGGTAGAAGACTAATATTTTCTCTACTGTAGTTAAAGCACATCTATGATCAAAATGTAAAATCATATATTCCTTCTACACAGTATTCAGTCATTTCTATCCTTGAAGTCTGTAACACTCATACAGTCTGTCCTGTGAGTAGGCACTGCAGTGTCACACATTTCACAGAGCCTGCCTCTTGAACTACTGAGGAGCTGAAAGGAGGAGTTTCAGAAGGCAGAGTCAGTACTGGAAACACTATATGCAGGCAGCAAGGTGCCATGGGATATGTAGTTCTTAGAAATGGAAAGTAAACAGCAGAGGAGAAGCTACAAAGCATGCAGGGAATCTAGGAAGTTGTGGAAGGAGATGGCCAGCAGACAGACAGAATTCACAGCATGAAATAAGATTTTTCAAATAAGCTTTTGTCAGATATAAATATTGTTTTTATTACAATGCTGATGTTAAAATATGAAAATGTATACAATGACCATAGATTTTGTAATACAAGCTGGTCTGTTTTCTGTCCTCAGCCTGTACTTGAACAGTGAAGGAGAAGCAGCAGACTGATGGGCTAATCTCTCCATCATTCTGGTCTGTCCTCCTATCAGCATGTTCCTTGTTGACACATGAGCATAACTGATTGTTACCTTGCACTGCTTCTTTCTCTTCTAGCCTGAGCTCTGCTGCACAGAAATTGCAAGACGCTGATGCATTTAGAAAAAAATGTTGTGATATATTAACCGCTTTCTCGCTGCCCTACAGCAGATATACTGCTACAGGGCATCAGGGTGCGCAAAATCACGTATATATATATGGGATTTTGCATCTCCGGGTAGGGGGCGCGTGCGAGCTGTGCGTGCACCTTACCAGCGCCGCCATTCATGCCCATGGCTGTCAATCACCAGGTCCCGGACAATGATTACCCTCTGGCGCCTGGTGATTACCAAGCATCTTTAACGGGGAGGAGGACTATTTTGTTTACTAACAGTCCTCCTCCCTGTCAGCATGGGCACACTGCTCTGGATGGCTGTGCACAGCACAGCCATCCAGAGCAGTGTGATTACAGTGAAGCACACAGACACCGCCCCCCAGTAAAGCACTCCCTCAACACAGTTAACCCTTTGATCGCCCCTCATGTTAACCCCTTCCTGCCCAGTGAAATTAGTACAGTGTCAGTGCTTTTTTTAGCACTGATCACTGTATTGGTGTCACTGGGGATGTCAGTGACATCAAGTCAGTTCCTCCCCCCCAGTGTCATAATGTCCACCGCAGTCCCTCTATAAGTCTCTGATCGCCGCCATTACTAGTAAAAAGAAAAATTCCAATATCTATACTGCCATTTGTAAATGCTATAACATTCACGTAAACCAATTAATTTACACGTATTGGGATATATTTTTAGCAAAGACATGGAGCAGAATACATTTTGGCCTAAATTTATTACAAAATTAGATTTTTGAAATTATTTTATTGGACATGTTTAATAGCAAAAAGTCAAAAATATTGTTAATTTTCTCAAAATTGTTAGTCTTATTTTTTTATAGCGCAAAAAATAACAATCGCACAGGTGATCAAATACCACCAAAAGAAAGCTCAATTCATGGGGAAAAAGGTGTAAATTTAATTTGGGTGCAGAGTTGCATGAATGCGCAAGTGGCAGTTAAAATAAACACAGTGCCGTAATGTAAAAAATGGCTAGTCAGGAAGGGGGGTAAATACTCAGGAGGGCAAGTGGTTAATAAATACTATGTTATTTTGGTTTTTATGTCTGTCTGGAGTTCAGTTTTATCAGTTTCTGGAGTTCAGCTTTAAAAACTTTAAACTGCGCTATAGCTGTATGATGATGGCTACAGCGCGGTTGTCCAGTTCTGGGAGGGTGTCATATGACGTCCTCCCAGAATGTGCGCCCCTAGTGTAGCACACCTGGCACTGTCAGTGACACAGCTGATCACATGACTAGGTAAAAAAGGCCAAATCATAGCAAACTTTTACCACGTCATCAGCTGTGTCCAATGACACGACAGATCATAAAGTAAATACAGTTGCCGGTTATCTGCAGTACTTTCCTCATGCTGTCACAACGTGAAAAAGTACTGCCAATAACCGGCAAATGTCACAGAACAGATCTGCACTGATATTCAGGGCACTGATATCAGCACAGCATGCCGCCCATCAGTGCCAAAGATGCCAGCCCAGACAGCCCAGCATGAAATAGTGCCCAAATAAGCCCAGCAGTGCTGCCCCTCAGTGCCGCCAGTCAGTGCAACCAGTCAGTGCCACAAGTCAGTGCTGTCAGTCAGTGCCACCAGTCAGTGCCGTCTATCTGTGCCCAGTAGTGCCACCTATCAATGCCCATCATTTCTGCATATCAGTGCAGCATCATCAGTACCTCTTCATCAATTCCACAGTGCTGCCTTATCAGTGCAGCCTACCAGTGCCCATCAGTGCTGCCTATCCATGCCACCTCATCAGTGCCCATCAGTGTTGCCTATCAGTGCTGCACATCAGTGAAGGAGAAAAATGACCTGTTTGCAAAATATTATAATATTATTAAAAAATAAAGGAACACTTTGAAAACACATCAGAACTCAATAGGGAAAAATCTCATGCTAGATCTCTATACTGATATAGACTGGGTACTGTGTTAGGAATGTAAGGATGCACCATAGTTTGATGGAAATGAAAATTTTCAACCTGCAAAGGACTGAATTCAAAGACAATGCATCACTCTAGTCCAGTTTGCTAAAATTCCATTGCAGCAACACAAAATGGTCCTCAGTAGTTTGTATGGCCTCCACATGCTTTTATACATGCCTGACAATGTCGGGGCATGCTCCTAATGAGACGACAGATGGTGTCCTGGGGGATTTCCTCCCAGATCTTGACAAGGGCATCACTGAGCTCCTGGACAGTCTGAGGTGCAACCTGGCGGTGTCAGATGGAACATGATATCCCAGAGGTGTTGTATTGGATTTAGGTCAGGCGAGCGTCGGCACCATTCAATGGTAGCAATTCCTTCATCCTCCTGGAACTGCCTGCATACTCTCGCCACATAAGGCCAGGCATTGTCATGCACCAGGAGGAACCCAGGTCCCACTGCACCAATGTAGGGTCTGACAATGGGTTCAAGGATTTCATCCCGATACCTAATGGCAGTCAGGGTGCCATTGTCTAGCCTGTAGAGGTCTGTGCGTCCATCCATGGATATGTCTCCTCAGACCATCACTGACCCACCACCAAAACGGTCATGCTGAACGATGTTACAGGCAGAATAACATTCTTCATGGCTTCTCCAGACACTTTCATGTCTGTCACATGTGCTCAGGGTGAACCTGCTCTCATCTGTGAAAAGCACAGGGCGCCAGTGTGGACCTGCCAATTCTGGTGTTCAATGGCAAATGCCAGGCAGTGAGCACAGGGCCCAATAGAGGACATTGGGCTCTCAGGCCACCCTTATGAAATCTGTTTCTGATTGTTTGGTCAGAGACATTCACACCAGTGGCCTGCTGGAGGTCATTTTGTAGGTCTCTGGCAGAGCTCATCATGTTGCTCCTTGCACAAAGGGGCAGATACCGGTCCTACTGATGGGTTAAGGACCTTCTACGGCCTGTCCAGCTCTCCTAGAGTAACTTCCTGTCTCCTGGAATCTCATCCATGCCCTTGAGACTGTGCTGGGAGACACCGCAAACCTTCTAGCAATGGCACGTATTGATGTGCCATCTTGTAAGAGTTTCAACTGCTTGTGCAACCTCTGTAGGGTTCAGATATCCCCTCATGCTACCAGTAGTGACACTGACCCTAGACAAATGCAAAACTGTGAAAAACAGTCAGAATTGATGAGTAGGGAAAAAATGTCAGTGGCCTCCACCTGTAAAGCCATTCATCTCATTGTTGCCCATCTAGTGCACCTGTTGTAAATTTCATTAACACCAAATCAGCTGAAACTGATTAATAACCCACTCTGCTACTTAACTGACCAGATCAATATCCCAGGATTTTAATTGACTTGATGCTATACTCTGATTAAAAAGTGTTCCTTTAATTTTTTTGAGCAGTGTAGAAACAAAGCAAAACTTTTTTTTTTTTAATTTTTTGCTCTTTTTTTGTTTATAGTGCAAAAAATAGAACCCCCAGTGGCTATTTAATGCCACCAAAAGAAAGCTCGATTTGTGTGAAAATGATAAAAATGTCATATAGTTACAAAATTGCATGACCTCGCAATTGTCATACAAAATGCAACAGCACTGAAAGCTGAAAATTGGCCTGGGCAGGAAGGAGGTGAGAGTGCTCAGTGGGCAAGTGGTTAGAGAACAGACACAGTTTGCTAGTATGAAATAAAAGCTCAAATACATGTAATGTTGGATGACTGCTAAACTTCAGATTCCCCTGCTAAATGTCTGGATTTATACTTTTGTCTACTTTAAAGTTGACCATACACTGTAAGATGGGCTTGAAAGAGAGAAATCAGCTGGTTCCCCCATGTTTTGCTTTGCATCTTTTACGGTTCTTTGCGGTAAACCCATGGAAGCAATTAGTCTTCTGTAGTGTAGTAATGTGCTTTGACTAAATGAAAATGAGGTACATCCAAACAATTCAGTTATAGGAATACGTACAAGACTGATAGATATTACAAAATATTTGGAATTATAATAATACGCGCCACAAAATCCAACAGTGTGCAGCTGACAGTCCAAAACACCCCCCCCCCCCCCATTTAAAAGTCTTGTATACAAAACCTCACCAGAATCTCCTTAGGGGCAAAAAGCGTGGTATATCATATGATCTCAATCTCTCCTTTGATCTTCTAATCGACTGCTTCCAATCTCTAAAACAAAAAACTAATATAGTGCAGTAATTCTTATATAAAGTGTACTACATAATACACATATACACATAAAACACTATGCAAATAGTGATCACCACTAGTCCCACTAAATACTCTTAACCTCATAGGGTGAAAATGTGCATTCACTCTCCTTTGTTCTAAATAACATCCAGCATCCAGCTCTGGATGTGACCATACTCCATCCACCATCAGTGTGCAAAATAAATCCTTGCTCTATCCCTTCCCCTTCAGGTATGCACATTACCCTGCATAGCTTGTTGATCGCTTTTCAATATTCAATGTGCCTTGAAATCTGTTTTCTCCTCCTCGACTCGTCATATACTCTCAGTGACCATAAGAGATTAAAAATATACACCCATAGCGCAGCAGTATTTAAAAGATCAATGTATCAGTAAAATTGCGCTTACATGAACCAGCAATGAAAACAGACTATTCCAACCATTCCAAAATGGCCATCGTATATTACAAAATATGCCTACAATGTACACATGTACAAGCTATCTTTTCTAGCAAATTAGCATGGATAGAGGGATACACGAAAAGCTACTTAACTTGGGTTGTAGATTTAGTGTCATCCCCAGGTAACGTTCCTATTGTTAATCTTTCTTTATGAGGGAGTCATCTTCCCAGAGTCAGAATCTCTTTTCAGACTGCTTTTTGGAGTCCTCCAGCATCACAAGTCCTGTTCCTTTTTCTTGAGCACATGGCTTGTTCAAGCCCTCTTTTCTCTCACCCTACTTTCTGTAAGATCATTTCCTGTCCAGAGCTTCATGAACCAGTCCAACATGTTTGTTAGCATATGAATAAGGGAATCTTAGCTTCTCACCAATACATGGTCTTAAAATGTTATTGCATATTTATGCTTGAAAATTTACTAAAGTATGATAATCTAATTGTTAACTACCAAGACTCCCACCCTTAGACTGGTGCACTCCCCCCCCCCCCCCTTTCTCCCCCCCTTCACCTTCCCCACCATCTACTACATTCCTATATCTTTCCCACTTAATATAACCTACCCACCTCATCATGGTTCAGATCGAACACAACATACCTCTCATGTCTATGTGACATACTTATATATTGCCCCAGCCAAATGGTGGGGAGCTTATAACTCATGACTCTGTTCTGTTATTTATGTATGAACCGTATTGAGATACTTTGTTTTGACAAAATCTTTTCAATAAAAACTATTGAACATAAAAATTACTAAAGTAGCCATAGTAGCACACCCCATCTATGCAAACAGTGGATGAATCAAAACAAATTAATAACTAAGTGAACTACCAAACCTAAAATAATTTCAAATAACAAAGAGTTGCTGCATCCACTGCAAGTTATCCCACACCCAATCAATAGACAATGCAAGTCCCAAGTCCCAAGTGAGCAGCAAAATCCATAAACTTCTATATAATAAACATTCATTGTAGCTGTGCTCAAATTCGCTTCATAAACCAATTGAATCACCGATATTCACTTGGGACTTGCATTTATGTGATTTATGTATTTATACATGGATTATTTATTATATATGAAATAAGGTATATTTACTTATTGAGTAGTGAAATACTGTATTATTCATTGTCTAGTATGGATGAATGATTCTTTCCTGCTGGTCATTGTACTCTGACAGCCAGCACTTTCCGCTGTCCAAATACCTGAACAGTGCCTGCATCTGATTAGAAAGCACCAAGTGTACCATGTAGAGGATGTGAAGGTTATGCATGCTTTCTCCTTTAGGAATAGGGATAGGAAAATGGATAGGAAATGGGATAGCAAGGTGTGTATTCTATGAATTAAATGAGTATTGCAAAATCCTTCCTGAAGCACCTGACAATGGGACAAACTATGTGTAGCACACCCTTGGGTGGAACCTGGCTAGATATATAGGTTTAGCTCCCACCTGAATCTGGTGACACCTCCGATTATACCCAGAACACTTCACACTCTGAGAATATATATATGGGTTTTATTGAAGAAAACAAACCCTGAAAAAGAACTAGCTGATTTAACACAGGGAATGTACATAAAACACAGATACCACTTTGCATAACACAGTTAGTAAGAAGTCACAATTCACTCGCCAAAGACACCAAAAACTGACTAGTATCACACTGACTACAGTGGCATATGAGAGTGACATTGACACATGAAACAATAACTGTTAATGAAATTTAGCAGCTTATTGACATTTGCTATACCAGTACTATCTAGAGCAGAAATGTCCTACCTAACCACTGGCCAGTGGGATGAAACTTAAAGTCTCTCAACGTTGGGGCCCTTTAATCAATGGAAGAGCGCTCACTCTCTGAATGGGAGAGTATTTGTAATCCAGGGGTAGCAGGATAGCACAGTCTCCTTTAAGCAGAATCTTTCAGTGAACATTGCAATAGAAAAACAACACTTCAACAAAATCTTTACCATACAGGTGAAATCCTGATATACTGACACTTGCTCAGTATATTCAGAGCAGCAAGCTTCTGTGGGGACTTGGAACTAAACACACTCTTCAACCACAGCACAAGTCTTGAGGAGACAAACCAGTAATATACAGAGACAGAGTTCTCTCATCAAACAGCAGCAGGAATAGCTAATTCTGAGCAGCTTGGGCTTTCCAA